TATAGATAGATAGTCGATGGTATAATGTATACATCTATGCCCATAAAGAAGAATAGTACGAAACCCTGTGCTCATACAGTCCCTATTAACAATACTACTATTGCTGCTGCTACTACTAATACTATTAATACTAATATTACTACTTCTATTGCTGCCCCTACTAATACTATTAATATTCAATCGCAAGGAAGAGTTCACCCATCGCATCGGAATACAACAACGACTGTGAATCCTTCTTATATTGCTGTTCCCATTCGGGCCCGTACATCTCAACATCGACTCTCCGCTCCATTTCCACATCACGCAGAGAAAAGAAATAAAGTGATGGATTGCGTGGAAAAGGAACTCACACGGCAGGCAATACACAATACCCATACTGATAATAATAATAATAATAATAATAATAATAATAATAATAATAATAATGACGAGAAGGAGAAGGAGAAGGAGAAAAAGAATAAAAAGAAGCAACCTGAGGAAAATAATAATAATAATAATAATAATAATAATAATAATATGGAGGAGGGAGGGATAGCATTACGAATACAAGAGAAAGATGAAGAAGAAGAAGAAGAAGATGAACGAATGAAGATATTATTACGGTATAGAGATGCGGCGGAGCGGGTTGTCTACACAGATGCGGGGAATGCCGTTGTGCGGTCTGCGTGGGGTTCCGTAAAGAGTCCAACCAACACAAATCCCACAGTCCCTTCTTTTTCTTCTTTCTCCAATATAAATAACAACAATAACAACAATCATCATTATTATTATCATCATAAGGAAGAGAAGAATAAGAATAAGAAAGAAGAAGAACAACAACATTATCCTCATCCTCCTAAACTCCATAATCTCAATGAGAAGCATCTTATCCCTAATACTATGTATAGTGATAACTTAAGCCCTAACTACTATAATAATAATAATAATCATCATCATATTAATAATAATCATCATATTAATAATAATAATAATAATAATAGGAGATCTCCGCCAGTAACGACAGTTGTGCCTTGGGGTCGACACGACATTCGCCGTACACTGCGATTACCCTTCATTGCACCTCCAAAACACAATAATATTAATAATAATCATAATAATAATACTATTGATATTGATAATACTATTGATAATGATAATAATAATAATATTGATAATAATAATAATGTTAAAGAAAAAGAGGAAGAGGTGAGTGAGCAAACATTAGCGGCAGTGGCGGCGGTGGCGGAAAAACACCGATTGCAGTATTTGGAGGCCCGCAGAGCCATTCGACGGGATGCGAGTCTTGCGTACAGTACGTTGTTTGAGCGCACACTCGCCGGCCTCACACGCGAGCGGGATATTCTGCAGAAAGTAAATGATATCGTCGAGGAGGTGCGGAATGCCGTCACTGAAGAGGAGGAAGAAGAAGAAGAAAAGGAAGAAATGGAAGAAGAAACAGCGGAGAATATTAATATTAATAATAATAATAATAATAATAATAATGATAATAATGATGATAATAATAATAATGATGATAATAATGATGATAATAATAATGATAATGATGATAAGAATGATGATAAGAATGATGATAAGAAGGATGAGAATGTTAATAATAATAGTAGTAATAATAATAATAATAATAATAATAATAATAATAATAATAATAATAATAATAATAATAAAGATAATAAAGATAATAAGATTAAGATTAAGAATGGGCATATCTATACTATTGTACAGGCAGAAGAAGGGGAAGAGGGTGAAGGGCCCCGCACGGTTTATCATCCACTCGTCCCCTCCACAACAGACGGCAGCGGCCTCATATCTACACAAGGAGAAAATACAAATTTAACCAAAACAACAAAAACAACGGTTTATCTTTTACCATCATTGCCCTGTTTATGCCGTCCACACACTCAACAAACATCCTCATCATCATTATTATCTTCATTATCTTTACAAACTCAACGTCAACAACAAGAGGAGTCGGAACTCGCCATGACGAAATCAATATTGCAGGAAAAATTAATGGCTATATTAGACAAAGAGTCCAAAAGCGGCAATACACGAGAGAGAGGAGTGTTGAGTGCAGAGATACCACAAACAACAACAACAACAACAACAGCCGTGTGTGAGGATAATATTAATATTAATAATAATAATAATAATAATAATAATAATAATAATAATGGTATGCTGGAAAAGGGGAGTACACTTCCACTTCTTAATGAAGAGGCATTGAGAGAAGAAAAAGAAAAAATGGAAGCAGCAGCAGCAGCA